AGATATCAAAGAAAAGTATAATTTCTTTCTTTCTTTTTTTTTTTTCTTTTTTAGAGACAGGGTCTCACTATGTAGTTGAGACTGACCTGGAACTCATTATGTAGCTCAGGTTGATGTTGAACTCATAGCGATCCTCCTGCCTCAGCCTCCTGAGTGCTGGGATTACAGGCATGCACCACCATGCCCAGCAAAGAAAAGTATAATTAAATTTTACATAGTTAGCATTTTTAGTGTAAGTAGTACAAGGTTTGTTTGTTTTAATTCACTTTTGATGGAGTTTTGTGAACTTTTCCTGTAGGTTCAACCCATACTATCTTCTGCCCAAGCCACAGAAGTATCTACTGGTGTTAAGTTCCAGGTTGGCGATCTTGTATGGTCCAAGGTGGGAACCTATCCTTGGTGGCCTTGTATGGTTTCAAGTGATCCCCAGCTTGAGGTTCATACCAAAATTAACACAAGAGGTAAGAAAAGGCATAAATGGCTATTAAGTATAATGTTGGCAATAAAGAAGACTTCAAGTGTTATATGTAATACAAGAATGAGCCAGGTGTGGTTGCAAATGCCTGTAAGTCTCAGCACTCTGGGTGGCTAACACAGGAGGACCACGAGTTTCAGCTCAGCCTGGGCAACTTAGTGACTTAGTAAGTACCTGTCTCAAAATAAAAAAGGGCTGGGAATGTAGCTTAGTGCAGAGGCCTTGATTTCAACTCCCAGTACCCCCCCACATAAATAATATATACTCTCACACAAAAATGTAAATAGACTGAAATAATTTTGGTCATCTTGATAGAGAGACCATACAACTGATATAGTCCTTGTTTGCCCTTGTAATACTTTGCATTTGGTTACAGTTTGTTTCCTTCTTGTGTGCGTGTGTGTGTGTGTGTGTGTGTGTGTGTTGTGTTTTGTTTTGCTAGGGATCGAACTTAGTGCTTCATGTATTCCAAGTGTCTTGGTTACTTTCTCATTGCTGAGACACAGTACTTGACACCCACAACTCTAAGGAAGAAACATTTATTTTAGCTCACCGTTTGTGGAGAGGTTTCAGTCCATACTTGGCTCGAAGCTCCACAGCAGGTGGCATGGCAGAGGTGGCTTGCTTATGGTGGGGGCAGCAGGAAATGGGGAGCAGTCAGTGGTAAGGAGGAAGAAAGCCTCTTCCAGGCCATGCCCTTAGAGACCTATCTGCTCTGACCTGGCCTCACCTCCAACACCACATTTAGCTATGCTTGGATCCAGTCACCTCCCAAAGCCCCACCTAAGAACATACGATGTTCTGAGTGAATATCTAGATGTAAACCATAGACCCGGCTGCTACTTAGCCACAGCCACCCCCTGGCTCCACACTTCCTTTCCTAAAACACTTGCCTGACTAACTTTCATTTTTCCTTAAAAAAACCTGTGAATACATAATATCTTATAGGAGCTTAATATGAATCATCCTTCCTTAATTTCATCACTGAGTCCTGTGGATAGTATTTTTTTTAATCTAGATGAGTACTTTTTTTCTAATAAAATTCACAGAATTGTTTCTTCTTCACTCCATTTTTAAAGTCTGAATTTCCTGTGGCATCCCTATATATTTGAAATGACAGAAGTATAGCTTAAATCTAGCTATATATAACATAGTTTCTTACTTTAACAGTGTTAGAAGTTAAGAAAAGATGTATTCAAACATTTTTGCTTTGTGTGTGTGTGTGTGTGTGCATACGCACGCTTGTGCGCACGTGCACATGCTTGCATGCACCTGCAGTTTGGGAATTAAACCCAGGGCCTCACACATGCTAATCAAGCACTCTCCCACTGAGGTACACCTCAGCCTGGAAGTTTGAGCTTGGAATTTATTTCGGGACATATTTATTTTATAAACTCATTGTTGTTGTGTATTGACTTCCTCATTGTGACAAATTTTCACCTGTTCTTTTTCTCACACCTTAAACTTGTTTGCTGTTTTGGGGGAGAGTGTCAGCTTAAGTCTGGTGAGTCAGATCTGTGAGGGCTTCAGCTTGTCTGTGACACTTTGACTGCACAGCTAGAAGACTGCTCAGGTACTGCAGGCAGTATGGGTTGATGGTCCTTTATCTACTCAGTATTGTGTGCTGAGTAAAGGTTGAAAAACTGAACCATCAGTGGGGCAGATGTGAAGAACTAACCTTGTTGGGTGTGCACTGTTCTGCAAAGTACTGATTAAGCAATTCTCTTATAATGCGATCCTCATAACAGCAACACTGAAGTAGGGAGTGTTATGTCATGTTTCAGATAAATAGAGTGTCAAAAAGATCTTACTCCATAACTCCTGCCGTTAAACACTACTTAGATGTTAGAAGAAAAGCAATTTCATTTACCCAGGCATGATTTACAGAGACTGGGCGAGGCAGTCCTTGTTCTGCCTCTATGCAAGACAGGTGTTACTGGTCTATGCAGTACCTTGCAGCTTCAATAATCCATGGTTCTACAAGTGGGAAAAGAAAGGACAGGACCCTCCAAAGAGGCCAGTTCTTAAATGAAACAATGTTTGTCCATAGCTGAGCCTCCCAGCTCTCAGTGAAACTGCATCATGTGAGAGTTGTGGCTCTTCAGTTCTCTCCTCTCAGGAAAGCATTCTTTTGAGATTAAGTTAGGATTTCACATTTAATTACTTTATGAAAACCCACTAATTACAGCTTTTTTTATGAGATACAAATGAAAGCACAATCTATGCCTTAGCTATAAAGGAAGTATTTAAATTTAGTTTTATTAATTAATATTGTCTGGTACCCGCCCCCCCAGGCATTCTCCTACTTTAGTGCTGGAAAAACTAATTAAAAAAAAATCATAGCCGGGGATTTAGCTCAGTGTTTCGGTGGCCTGCCTCGCAAGCACAAGGACCCGAGTTCAATCCCCGGTACCAAAAAAAAAAAAAAATCACTACTGGAAAAAGAATTTAGGTTAAGAAATATATAATTTGATAAAAATTTTAAATATCCTTTTTGTTTTCATTCTTTTTAAGAGTCAAAATTACAGGTGTGCACCACTATGCCTGGTTCTTTTTTTGCTTTTAAAAACATCACATGTTTATTAGGGAAAAATAAAGCTTGACAGACATGTATACAGTAGAAAAGCAAAAGGTGCCAATATTCTCATCCTGCAAATACGTAATGACTAAAAACTTTGGGATTAATTCATTTTCTCTGTGGATATTGTAATTAATACATTTGTAAATATTTTTATTGATAGTTTTATTCTTATTTTTATTTTGTGGTACCCGGGAACAAACTCAGGCCCTTGTGCTTGTGAGGGAGGCGGTGGAACCACTGACCCAAATCCTGGGCCCCAAGTTGTTGGGTTTAAATTTAAAACTAAATGGGTTTTGCCAGGCTTGGTGCCTCATGCCTGTAATCCTAGCACTGGGGAGCGAGGCAGGCAGATGGCTGGCTGCAAGTTTGAGACCAGCCTGGAGTGAGTTCAAGGCCACCCTGAACTGCATGACAAGACTCTATCTCAAAACACTGGGTGGGGGGAGACTAAATTTTTTTGAATTTTTTTAAATATAAGAATATTCCTTTGCATTTTCCTTTGTTTTGGTACCAGGAATCTAACACAGGATCTTGTGCTTGCCAGGCAGGTTTGGCACTGCTGAGCTACAACCCCGGCCCTTCCTTTACATTTTTCTATATGAAATTTAGGTCAGTATTTTGAGACATATATTCTTCATTCTGATTTTTTTCATCTTTAGATTTTTATTTCCCTCTTAGTATTGTCTTCCAATCAGTAAGAAATAAAGTGCTAGCAAGTTAGGCAGAGTGCTTCATTTGCTTCCTTCTCAATGATTAATTTAATGGAAAAGTTGAATACATAGCTGAAAATAACATTGTATTCCCTATGAATTTCAGGTTTTTGTGTTTTTATTTTTGTTTTTGTTTTTGTTTTGTACCGGGGATCAAACTCAGGCCCTTGCATTTGCAAGGTAGATGGTGGAACCACTGAGTCAAATCCCTGGCCCACATTTTTGTGGTTTTAACTTTTAAAGACTCCTAGGATTGTCTGCTTCTGAATAACTCTAACCTTTGGGAAAAGATTATGTCCTAGGTGCTTTCAACCCTATGAACCTACTAGCTACCCTGTCCTCCAAACTCACCTAGTACTTTAGGTTACCTTCTTGTTTTTCTCCCTGAAGTACTTAAATGTTTTATTAACCTTCTCTGATTAATTATAGTTAGATTTGTACTTGGGTCTCCCTTCTCATATTAGATGATACATGTCTAATAATATTAATATGTCTTACAATTTTTTTTTTTGTACCAGGGATTGAACTGAGGACTTCGCACTGTGAGGCAGGCTCAGTGCCACTGACCTAAATCCCCAGCCCAACATGTGCCTAATCTAAGATACAGTGAGATTTCATATGACTAAGTTGACTCCATTTAAGCTTATACTCATCATTTTTCTAGTCAGGATCCACTTTTTTGCCTTTTTTTCCCTACCTGTATTATTGTGGATTGCTTGAGAAGGCTAGTTCCTGCTTTTCTCTTGTGATCTAATACTTTTTCTCTAGAGCAGTGTTTTTCAAACTGTCTTTGGTAAATGACTAATTTTTGCTAAATTTTGAGTTTCCAAGCCAGGCATGGTGGTGCCTGCCTGTAATCCCAGCATTCGGGAAACTGAGGTAGGATTGCAGCAAATTCTGTGGCCAGCCTGGGCTACATAGGGAGACTAGCACTCAAGAAACTGAAAGGGAAAAAAAGTTTCCGATCCACTGTGGGTGTGGTGGCACAGACCCGTAATCCCAGCACTGTGGGAGGCTGAGGCAGGAGGATTACAAGGTCAAGTCCAGCCTGGGCAATTTAATGAATTAGTGAGAACCTGTTGCAAAATTTTTTTTTAAAGGGCTAGGTATGTAATAGATCAGTGTGAAGGCCATGGATTCAGTCCTCCCGTAACACAAACACACACACATACACACGCGCACACACACTTTTAGTTACTATGTACCAATACAACAAAACTTGATTATTTAAACCCCTGTCTCCCATACAGTATAGGGCCCCAATGTCTGATCATGTTCATAGTTCTGTATGCGCCATCTAAACATCTGTACTTTACTTTGTCACAGTGCCTTGTTTCTTCAGGTCACACTTTCAGAATAGCAGTGCTCTTAAGCAGCAGTTCTCAGGTGTTGTAGTGCCAGCATGCTTTATGTTTTGTTTTGTTGTTTTGTTTTTTTTGAGACAGCATCTTGCTCTGTAGTTCAGGATGGTCTTGAACTCATGGTGATCCTCCTGCCTCACTTTCCTGAGTGCTGGGATTATAGGCATGCGCCACAACACCCAGCATGCCAGCACTTTTTACCTTTAAAATTTGAGGATTAGAAAAAACCTTTGTTGATAGTGTTTGTATGTTACTACTTATTTTAATTTAGAAACTAAACCTGAGAAGAATTTGAAACATTGTGTACATTATATTTTATACATTATACATTATGAATTGTATGAATACATTATATATTATCAGTTATATCTTTATGAAAAACTTTTCTCAAAAAATTAATGATTTTACATTTTTGTAAGTCTCTCTAATGTCTACCTCAAATCTACTTCATTCTTGTTCTGATTGAAGTATTTGTAGATAACCTTAACCTCACACAGATGTGTTATAGGCAAAAAGAACAGTATTTTATAATCTTTTCAATGGATGTTTTCCTTTGATATTATACCAAAACTAAAAAAGCAGTGAGTTTATTACATATGGAATCTGAAATCCTACCAATGAACTTTTTGTACTTTTCTAAAAATCCCACTGGTTCTGTCTTGCACTTTGAGTAGATCTTTTACCATGTGTAATTTTGCAACATCTTCAGTTCATTGTCCATTTAAAAGCTTGATTTACTGAGTCATGTATAAGTACCTCTTTGAAATACTGATGCATTTTCTTATAGACCTTTTAAATATATTAATATATCACTATTTATATCATTGGAAAATCCTTTGGTTACAGTGGACCCTTGACTTACAAACTCAATAGGTTTCCGAGGGCTGGTTGTAAGTTAGTACAGCCAAAATCTGGATGTTTACCTGGGTACATATTATCAGTAACAAGAAGCAGATCAATCTTCTATTAACCTATACCAAGTTGTTCATCAGGTCAGTCATAACTTGAGGGTCCACTGTATTGGGAAGCCATCTTAATCACAGGTCAAAACAGTTTTTCCAGAATTTTGCAGGATTTCACTTGAAGTTTCAGCTCTGGTACCAAAAAAAAAAAAATAATAATTTTTTTTTTTTTTTGCTTGAAAGATCAGACTTTTATTACTGCCAACAAATAATGTTGTTTTCCTTGAAGTAAAGAAATCTCATTTTTGAGGCGACGTCTGCCAAATACTCAAGTTTGAATAACCATAATTCTTCTTTCAAACATATTTTCTAGAAAAATGGCGTTCCTTGAAGACTAGTAAAATTTGATAAAGTTTCAAAGACAATTTTAAGACCTCACATGATCCCTAAGTCTCCCATTCATATAGCTCGAAGAGCAATTTGATTAGCATTGCTTTTTAAAAGTCCAAGGAAACAAGATCATACATTTTTCAAAAGAAACATTATTTATAATCCCAGTTTGTTCATAAAAAAGACTGACGGTAGAAATAAATTATGTAACCATGTTGGTTGTAATGATACATACTTGTAATCCCAGGACTCTGGGAGGCTGAGATAGGAGAGCTCAAGCTAAACCTGGGTAATCTGAAAAGTTTGGTTGTTTGTTTGTCTGTCCCTGTGTGTGTGTGTCCACCCCCTCCCCACTGCCTCCCCACCTCCCCACTGGGGATTAAATTCAGGACCTTGCTTAGCAAGGCAGGTGCTGTTCCACTGAGCTAAATTCCTGGGTTTAATCTAGGCAGTCTGATTTGCCAGGACCATGTCGTACAATAAGGGGTAGGGATATAGTCATGAGTTCAGTCCCCAGTGCTGCTAAATAAATAAATAGTATAAGCAAAGTAATAAATCTAACAATTAGCAGAATTTCTGCTTTTCTCTTGAAACTTGCTGGACTGATTTATTTTCCCCCCAGTACTGGGGATTGAACCAAGGCCTTCTCACTGAGCAATATCTCCATCCCTTTTTAAACTCATTATTATTAGTATTATTATTTATTATTGTTGTTGTTGTTTTGATACAGGATTTTGCTAAATTGCCCATCTTCCTGCCGCAGCTTCTCAGAGTCCTGGGATTATAGGTGTGTGCTATCACACCTAGATATTTGGAGTGATTTTTATAGCTCTATTAGTTGTGTAATTGGTAGGTATTGGAATATGTCTTTGGACAATTCGAAAAACACAAATTTAGTGGAAGTAAAAGAAAGGAACCTAGTTAAGAGGCCCTTTTGCCTAAGTACTGTATATGTGGATGCTTATGTTCTGGAATAATTAAGAATTTTTACTTACAGGTGCCCGGGAATATCACGTCCAGTTTTTTAGCAACCAGCCAGAGAGGGCATGGGTTCATGAAAAACGGGTACGGGAGTATAAAGGTCATAAACAATATGAAGAATTACTGGCTGAAGCAACCAAACAAGCCAGCAATCACTCTGAAAAACAAAAGGTAAATACAGCATATTAATATTTTTGTTAAGTACAATTCAGTAAGAGAAAATCCCTAATATATGGAATCCAAAATAATATGCCAAGAAAGTAGAAGGGAGACTTACTAGTAGATGAGGAAGGAAATAAGGGGAGAGGGGGTGTAAGGGTGGGTAATGGGGGGATGGATATGATTAGAATATATACACTGAGACCCTCCTAATGGAGTAGGGGGAAGGCAGGGCAGAGGGGCAGTAGAGGTAGGAATGACTGTATGAGGTTGTGTGCACGTTCATATCTGCCCAAAGTGTAAGTATTTTATTAGTCTGGGGTGTGTCTGAATGTGCACGTGTGTGCATGTGTGCACACACATGATTTGATGCTGGGGATCAAACCTATGCCAGGTATATGTTTTACCACTGTACTCCGGTCCTCTCTTTTTTTTTGTACTGGGGATCAAACTCAGGACCTTGCCCTTGGAAGGCAAGCAGTGGAACCACTGAGCTAAATCCCTGGCCCTCCTCTAATATGGTTTTTAAAGACTTAATTATTCAGAATTTTTCATACTTAAATTCAATTGTTTTAATGATGTTATTTAACTCCTTTAAGCTTGGTTTTAATCACTGTAAGTGATCAGTAGGTTTGTAAGTACAGTAGGGTTTATATGTTACATAAATAACATAGTATTATTAAAAATTTTACCTGTTTAATATAGTGTTGGGTTCCTTTGTGAATGGAGTTAATGTGCATAAGTCTATAAGATGTTAGTGAAATTTTGATTTTGCCAACGATTTAAAATTTTCCTATTTCATTGTCGTAAATCTTTCCCTTTTTTTTGGTATCAGGAATTGAACTCAGGACTTTATGCTTGTGAGGCAGGCGCAGCACCACTGAGCTAAATCCTCAGCCCTGTAATTCCTTTTTATTTAAAAAAATTGTTTTATGAAAATATTCATTGAGTACTTTCTGTAAAACAGATACTGTTTGAAGAGGCTTTTGGGTTTTGTTTGTTTGTTTGTTTGTTTTTTCTGGTACTGGGGATTGAACTCAGCACCTTGCACTTGCTAGGCAGGTGCTGTGCTGCTGAGCTACATCCCTGGTCCTAAGTATTAACTCATCTAATATTAACTCATTTAATCTTCAAAGTAACCCCTATGAGCTAGATACTGTTACTCCTTTTATTTGCAGATGAAGAAACTAAGGCACAGAAAGCTTAAGTAACTGGTTCACACAGAACATACAAGTAATGGAGCCAGTAAATTTGTTTGCTACAGTGATAGATATTTTAGAATTTTGACATATCTTCTTGATAATCTAGTTGAGATTTTAAACTCAACTAATTATAATGTGGGTCACTTGTGATTCATAAATGTGCCATTTTTAACTTTAAACATTAAATGTTATCACAGAGAACTGATTGGTTTTATGAGACTTATGATTTACAGACTTATACATTAGTATTTGACATATACTATACCATCTCATGGTTTCATTAACTGACTTCAGCCTGTCTCAGCTTAACCTTTTGAATTAATTCCTAATTGCTTCAGTCATACACTTCTAATCACTGCTTTAGCCACCTCACACAATTTTATCCAAAGCTGTCTTACCTCTCCTGCCAATCCAAAGTCTTCTGATGAACTGAATGTTACAGACCTGTGGAAACTGTAATTTGGGTTCCTGTATTTTTTCTCTCACCCGTCTACTGTCCTTGGTCTTGTCAGCTTTTATTTGTTCCTTTCTCTCCTTTCACTCCTTTTTGTCCCTATTTGCATTATGGTACATAATAGCAGCACATCTTTGTTGGCTCTCTGACGATTTGCCATGTGATCTCCATAGCACCTCTTAGCTGCCCCCACCCTCTAGCTGTGGAGGAAAAGTTGGAACTGTGGGTTATCACTTTTAATATTAATGTTCAACTGGCCACTGAAAGTAGTCATTTTTGTAACCTTTCTTCTCTTTTCCCTAATTATCACTAGCATTTTGTGACTGTGATGTGAGAACAACTCTCTCTCTGGGGAACTCACCCAGTGAGTAGTCAGCAGAGGAAGGACATATAAGAGAATAGACCTTCATGATATGTAATAGAGTAATACTAATTTAAATCAAAGTTACAGAGTTAAGGTAGTCCACTTATTTGACTGAAGAGCCCAAAGATATTCATATGTACCTAAAAAGATAACAGAAGCAAATGGGAAATGCATTTTGGTTTCAGTGTATCTGTTAAAATGTATCACATTTAATGCCTGTGCTTTGTTTTCAAGATTCGGAAACCCCGACCTCAGAGAGAGCGTGCCCAGTGGGATATTGGCATTGCCCATGCAGAAAAAGCATTGAAAATGACTCGAGAAGAAAGAATAGAACAGTATACTTTCATCTATATTGATAAACAGCCTGAAGAGGCTTTATCCCAAACAAAAAAGAATGCTGCCTCCAAGACCGAAGTTAAAAAACCCCGAAGACCAAGATCTGTGTTGAATATTCAACCAGAACAGACCAATGCAGGGGAGGTGGCCTCTTCTCAGTCAAGTACTGACCTTCGGAGACACAGTCAGAGGCGGCACACAAGTGTGGAAGAGGAAGAACCACCCCCTGTTAAAATAGCTTGGAAAACAGCAGCCGCAAGGAAATCCTTACCAGCTTCCATTACAATGCACAAAGGGAGCCTGGATTTGCAGAAGTGTAACATGTCCCCAGTTGTAAAAATTGAACAAGTGTTTGCTCTTCAAAATGCCACAGGAGATGGGAAATTTATCGATCAGTTTGTTTATTCAACGAAGGTACCTTCTTATGTTTTTTGTTTTGTTTTTGGAGGGGGTTATTTTAAAAATAGGCAACGTTGGCATTTTAAAAAACAACACAAGGATGTATTTTAAATACCCTTTGTCTCTCCCACATTTGAAATATATAGTCACGTTTACCCTGGGGCAGAAAAGACATAAGCAAAATGTCTGTGTTTTTCTTTTGGGTTTTTTCTTTTCTTTTCTTTTGTAATATTCCCATCTGTAGTAGATTAATCTTGAGCTATGCAGCCAAAATTCAGCATAGCTCCTGAAAGTCATGGAAAAAAACTGGGCAGTTTGCCTATTTGTACTTTGTATAGTTTTTCTTTGTTGCAGTGTGTGCTTCTTACTAAAATCATTTTTCCAGTTATCTGAATTAACCATTGTTACAAAAACTACTGTACTAATTCTACTTGCTGACCTGCTTGATTGCACCAGCAGTTTTGTTAGACTCCTGTTCTTAGGGTACCTAACTGTATTTTATTGAAATCCCAGTACTGTTTGTCCTAATATTTAGTTGTGGTAATAGCCTGAATGATGGGTTAGAAACAATCGCTACAAACCAAATGCTTCCATCTGCCTGCCCCAGGCCTCCATAAAGGCACTTAGAGTTTAGCCTAAAGACATCAGCCTCCTTTCATGACATTGGTAATACCTATATACCTCCTCACCACTCTCCCAACCCACACAGCTTTGGGATCTAAATTTAGTTGCATTTCATGCACATTTGCTTTAAAAATTAAGAATTCTGTGTTTGTTTATTTCTGACATAATCATATGCACATTAAAATAATTAATAAATGTAGGGCTGCCTCATTAGTAATATTATTTTCTTAAGTATCTTCAGAGACCTCTGTGGGTCCTGGTAAAGCTTATGTTTGGTCTCCACTTTCATTCTCTTGATAGCAGATGAGACTTTTGAATCTTTTAAAAATGCTAAATAGCCATAATTTTGAAGCTAGTTTTATCTACTTCTGGATGCACAAATCAGACAGCCCCTTGCCACTTAGAACATTATTTAAAGGAAATTTGAGATAAAACTGATTTTTTAAAAAATACATGCTTACTTATAAGTCATTCCTTATTTGTAATCCTTTGCATTAAAAATACCTAAATAAGACCTAAATTAATTTTGCCTACCTCTGTCTGCTCCAGATTACTTATTGGTCACTACAGATGACATATTTCTGTATCTAAAGATATTCTTGTCTCTTCAGACCTGTTGATTTTTCTGTCTTGTTATAGGGCACTTTATCAAATGAAAGTGACGAGTTGTCTGTTATATGTAAAAAGAAGAAACCAGAACATAAAATATTTTATTTTTGACAGAATATTGGGTGATCACAAGTTCATTTCTTAGGAATATCTATCACCTGCATTTAGACAAATAGTCTTTTCCTACATGCTGATACTGTACATTTTTTTAATACATGCTGATGATAATAAAATTGTTGTGATAATGGCTAACATAAATGAGCTATAATCAAAGATCAATAAATTCAAGGAAATTATAATCATGTTAAGCCAGCTTCATAAGTCCATGATGCCTTTTGCTTGGTAATTACCTTTTTTTTTTTTTTTTTTTTTTTTTT